CCAATTTAACCATATTAATTAAATTAGTTTAAGTTGGGCCAATGTACCTCAACACGTACCCCTTGACCTACCAAACACCCACCTATCATGCAAGGGGGGTCAAGTACGGAGGCGGAATTTGGCTAAGTATGGAGACCCAACCACAAGGGGGTCAAGCATGACATCATCCAAGGGGGCAATTCATGACATCACCGCCACTACTTACCTTCACTTACAAGCTTGTAATAGGGTGTCAAACATGATGTCGTGCGAGGAGGGGGTGTCAAACATACGAATACCTCTAGAACGTGGCGGCAAAGGAGGAGAAATTTGGCCAAGTGTTGAGACCCAACCACAAGGGGGTCAAGCATGACATCATCCAAGGGGGGGTCAAACATGATGTCATGTAAAGGGGGGTCAAGCACCAAGTACCATCTCCGCCTACCTGCCTTGCACTAGGTTGTCGTGCAAGGAGGGCCATCGCGAGTACCTCCTAGACGTGATTGAGAAAGAAGGGAAAATTTGGCTAAGTATTGAGACTCAACCACAAGAGGGGTCAAACATGATGTCGTGCAGTTAAACATGACATCGTCCAAGGGGGTCAAGCACCAAGTACTATGCGGCCTACCTACCGATGACGTCTTGCAAGGAGGGCCATCACGAGTACACCCGAAGAAGGAAAGATGGTCGAGTCCCCACCACTTACTGCCCCCTGCAGTCAAGCACCTATATACCTACATACCAAGTATTTTAGGCATGATATACCTCGTAGTTGTCCATGGTACCCGGTTGACAAGGTCATTAAGTTTTAAGTGTTAGTCATGTATATCATCACATGGTAGACCACCTTGTCAAGACCCTGCAAACATGTTTCCACCCCAAATAGGGGTTCGTATGCATCCATCAACCCTCCAAGCACCCTGGTGCCAAACATAACGTCATGCAAGGGTGGTCAAAATTAGTACCACCAAGGCATCAAAAATCAAGATGATGACAAACGAGGTACCTCCACGACACCAGGTGGCTACCTGCCAAGTGAAGTCATTAAGCCAGGCGGTTAAGGCATCAAGCAAGCTACATCAAGCACAACCAATGGAGCAACGGTTACCAAGAGGCAATTACACGGCGGTTGCAATGGATGACTATAAATAGGAGAAACGAAAATGAAGCAAGGCTTCCACAACCAAAAATTTGACGCACAATGTCAAAATTTATCTTTTTTCTGCAACTTAGTCGCACCCTTTAGTTTTCGGAGCTCTCACTGAACCTCCATAAGAGTAGGTGTAATTAACTTAGCTGGTTCCCGAAAAACCATCAAAAACATCAAACACCCTCGTTCGAACATTGTTCAGAGAGTAGTGAACCGTGTTACTAATCGTTATTCAAAAAGTCAAAGGTGCATTTATTGAATTCAAACACAAGAGATTTTCCTCACAGGAAAACACACTCACTTTTGTCCAACTTTCGATCCTTTTGTCCATTTCACCTGCTATAGTGTGAAACATACTAAAACTAAAACATTTCAAAATCTATCATAAAATGGCTCCAAACACGATGTTATTCAAGTCAAACAACAAAGTTAAAGGGGTTAAAACATGCATAGAATGGCTTCAATCATATTCCTCTCATGGAGACTTTGGAAAAGAAGACGTTGGTCTACCTATGATCATGTACAATACCGTCCACTAGCTTTGTTCAGCCAATTCCATGCCCATGTGGACAAATGGGGGTCAATGTCGGCCCCCACACCAAAGGCAACCCAATAAGTTGTGAAAATTTAACAGCATCCTATGCATGCTTCTTGTCCACCAGGGGGTCTCTCGGTCACGTTTGATGGAGCATTTAAAGAGAGACATTGGCTTCTCTAATGCCTATTGTGGGCATGGTTGAAAACAACTTCATAGCATGTGCACTAGTGTCTCATTGTTGTTGCTAGGTCTATGGTTCGAAACCTATTGCAGGTAAATTTTAATTTTCTAATTAAATATCCTATTAAACCCTTTCCTTTTATTAAATAGTTTTCTTAGATATTTATTTTTCAATTATAAAAAAAGAATGAGTTACATAATAATTAATTAGTTTGTTTATTTTCTAATTTTATATTAAACATGTCATGGTATTAGTGTATAACTTATTTTGAGTGAAAATGTAACGTGTTATACTACATTGAATTACAGTTTAATTAATTTTTTATCTTAATATATAATTTTAATATATTTTGAATCTATCATGTTAGAAATTTGTACTTTAGATTTGTAATTAGTTACTTTAATTATTTTTTTAAAAAAGTACAATTATAATATTATTATAAATATGTTTTTATCATTATTTTAATTAATTTTAACGAAAATTAACACCTTTTCGTGCTTATAGATTAGGAAATTCGGCCCCCGACGACCAAATCCTAGCTCCGCCCCTGCATTTATTATGGAGTTTCTTGCCCCTAAAGACGCTATGAATTGGTGCATAAGACATGAACTTGACAATTTTCGTGGAGATTCTCAACTTGTGATTTGCCGTGCGATGGCTGGATCGATGGACCATCTGGGTGGTGTTGTAATGTAAGAAGTCTAGCAGCTCTATAACTCTTATTTCGTTTATTCATTTTCTTTACGCTTCTCATCGTTTAATAGGGATACCCATTTAGAGGCAAAAACGACCATTTTATTGGTAGTTCAATGACTACCAAATTTGTAAGCAGTTGTCTATGTAGTATGTACTAGCTGTCTGTCATATAAAAAAGAACCTCTGTGTTCAGTTATTTTTTTGTTTTTTATTTTTTTATGGTGAAAGGGTAAAAAGACAGGAGGGAAAAAAGGACAAAACACTTATTATTTCTTGATATTACTAGCACAAGGTCCGGAAGAATTTTGTCGAGTAATATGCTATATAATAAAAGATATAATAGATGATTTGAAATGCATGAAATTATTGTTTTCTACCTTAGTTATGCACATAACAATTTTGAAAAGTGATCCAACTATGCATAATGTGTTTAGACCTCCATGAAAAGAGGGGAAAAAAATATAATATAAGCATTACATATATTTAATGAATGAAAAAATATAACTAATTGTCATTCATTACTTTATTAAACCATATAGTTGAATATTTGAGTTATTTCTCATAATACATATATAATCAAACTTTAGGATGAAAGAAAATGTTTCATAGAGTTTAGTATGTCCTTTAAGTTTTTCTCAATAGAGAGCATCCTTTTTTACCACACTGTTGGTAATGAATCTGAAGTTGCTTGATTTGAAATATATTGGATATGATGCGACTAAACTGTCGCTAATAGTTAGTTGGACAATGTGTTGTGTACGGACTTCCCAAATTATTCTCATATCGCTGACATGTCTAGCAACAATGTAGTAATTTTCATGCAGCAAATATTTTTTTCATGAAATAATTCAATAAATAAAAAAGTACAAAAATAATATTACATGAAATATATGTTACTCATTAAGTTGATGAATGAGCGAAGGTATGAGTAACATACATTAAAAGTATAATAGCTCAAAACAACAATTACTGTACATCTAGACTGCTTTTCCTATTCATTGTGACTCGAAATTACTATTCACCGGACTGTGATTGGCTTGCTGAGTTGGAGCGGGCCCTTTGTGTCCCCATTTGTTATCCAATTTTTTTTCCTTGCTTTTGTTTGTCAGGTATCTCCACTCGCTAATCGGTACGTGGAATTGGGTCTGACGTTGACGCCAATACACAGTGTGGCCTGATTGGCCCAAGATGAAAATGCGCGTTGATCACAAGGGGGCTGGATGGCGCCCGGATAAATCATGAAGATATTTTCGTGGGTTGCATGGTAGATTTGGGCACCACGTCACTCTTTTATCTCGGCCACTCATTTAACCTACCCAGCGCCGGCTCCGGCACAACCCTCAAGGTTTATTTTCTATCTCTCATTGCTTTTTTTTTATACTTTTGCTGGGAATTGAAATAGCAATGGTGAAGTCAGAGACGAACCATCTGGCTCTTACTCTCTCTCTCTCACTGTCTTCTTCTCGCACTTCTCTCTTCTTTTGTTCTCACATCTCTATTTCAGAAACCACTAGAGTTTGAGCGATCCACCGGGGAATATGGGAGATCGAGAGAGGATTCGAAGGACCTAGATCCGCCAGGTCTGTTTCCTCTGTCTTTGGTGAATTTTTCCCTCTCTTTCCTTAGATGGTGTTCGTGCTATCTTTCGTGCTCAAAAGGGTTTGTTCGATCACTTTTCAGGGGAGATAACGTCAATGAGCTCGCACTCGCTGTAGCAGAGAAAAGTTGGAGAGCTTTTCACTGGCATAACCGAATTTTCTGCACTTTGGTATATTCATGCGGTGACGGAATTCATCTGAAGCTTTTAATACTGATCAATGATCATGTTTGAGGAATCCCTTTGGTGACTCATTCTGATTTTTCCCCCGGCTATGTTGAGAGCATCTCTATTTATTTTCTCCTTTACCAGATTTGCGAATCCACGACGTCAAGATCTCAAACCTCCCAAAGTTGTAAAGAGAAGATTTAGTTGAAGACCCTAATCTAAAGGTTGCATTCTGGTTTCAGATGATTGTTCAATCTTTCACTATATCTGATATCTCGAAGGCTCAAAGATTTGTCCTGTTTTCTTCTATTAGCTACTCAGAGAAGAGTGGAAATCTAAGTTGCTCTATGGATTTGAAAGGTACAGAGAGTGCTCACAAAGGAGGTGGATGCGCAGATCTTAGCATATTTGAGGTGGCCATTTTTTCTATCGAGTTTGTTTTCTCAGTTATATTACTTGGGGGTTTTATCTCACTTTCATTCATCTTATGGATTCATTTTTGTTCTTTCGAGGGAGCAGCTGAAGATTTCCCAACGTCGTTGGGGGTGTGCAAATTAATTAAAGGAGCCGATTCATTACCTATGAACTCAACCTTTCAGTCATTATGTTTCCTATGCTTCCTTATTTTGTCAATCTCTCTCACATGTGAGTCGTTTTCTGTTTTCAGTGGTTTGGTTGGTTAAAGGATCCAATTCATCATCTGTTCGCATAAATCTTACCTGAACAAGGTGATTAGGCTCCATACAAGAGAAGGGGTATATGTGAATCTCAACTTTGATCTGTTTGTCCTGCTTTCTTGAATCTCAGCATTAGATTTATTGGTAGTCCCCGATTTGACTTTGTCCTTTGCTCTTTTCCAGCAGGTATTGTAGACACATGAAGATATGGTTGGGTTTTGGAAACAATGTCTAAACTTTACCACATTAGGTGTTCTATTCTATGCCATGGTCATGGTTTATCTGTATGCCTGATATTATGCTCAATACCTATGTCCTCATCTCCTTTCCCCTGTTGTTGTCCATCTTTTTGTGTTGTCTTCGAAGTTCAAACCTTACAGTTGCAGTTGGTTCACATAAGTTTCAACCTGGTATTCTTTTGCCAAATTTAATTGTGCTCGATACCTATGTGCTCATCGATAATTGATAGTATGATTTAAGCCCATGATTCTACAATATGTATTTTCCTATTATTTATTTATTTATTTAGCCATCAGAAGACAAATTCAAGATAACACATTGTCCGTGCAAGTCATGTGACCAATTTATTTTGTGGAACTTCTGTAATATTTGTAGCTGATTAGTCATAAGTTTGTATATTAATTTGCTTTTGTGGGCACTTCTGTAGTTTATGTAGTTCTGTTGACTACCCTAAATTCTCATTGTTTTGCCTTGGTTTTGGACTTCTTGGTAATGAAAGCTTAAATATATTTTTGTTGAATTACTTAGTATTTTGGCTGTGGACATTTTTTGCATGGGATGTGTTGTTTATTTTCGCCGCATCCTATATTTCTTCTAGATACTGATATGTGTCCACAAATTATTATGTCCATAATATTTAATAAGTTTCCTTGGATTTAATTAGCAATGTAATTATATCCAAATTAAGAACACATGATGTACAAAATGTTACTTCTCTTTTTCTTCCAACGTGTCACAAATCCCGCAGCGGAGCGCGGGTAAGAAAACTAGTTTATTTTAAAAGGATAGAAGTTGCAAATTGTCTTTTGTGTTGCATGAGATTGCATATTCTCATTATCCCTAACTGACTTATTCTTTTTTACAATAGATAGTTCAAAATGTGCCTTAAAACTTTTGTTTCCACCGGTGTAAACGAAATGTTTGCACCAAAGGATTGTAAAACCGTATCGAAAAGTTGGTAGTAGATTATTTTATATTGAAGTCATAATTTAACTATGGTTCAACTGTTTCATATTGCTAAATATCACCTATCGATTTATCCTATAATGTGAAGTTTTATGGTCTAACCGTCGGTACGCATGATCTTTCAATAAAAACTTTAAATTAAAATCTAAAATATTGACATTATCAAATACCTTTTAAATCTCAGAAATTACAATAATCGTATTAAGAAAAAAAATCTTCCAAATGATAATATTGATTTAGGATTTTAAATTGAAATGGAAAAAATATGTCAAACATAATGTCATGTCCTAAAATAAATCAAAACTCAACAGAATAGGGCCAAGAATATCCATTAATCAAAACAGAAGGGCAATTATTTCACACTACCCATTTTCCTCCTCTTTCAAATGTGTCCTCTCACTCTCTCTTGGCCTTGCTCTTTGTTTTTCCATTTGTTCTTCCATCTCTCTATCTCGGCTTTGTATCTCACAACTCTCCCATTTTCCCTTCCTCTTTCTTTCCACCGCCTGGAATTGATAGAAACCTAAAAACATCCCAATTACTTCCCCAATTTTGTTTTTGAAATGCTTCTTCTCCATTCACAGTCGATAGTGTGAATCAGAGCTCCTGAAACCTGGCGATAGATGGTCGCTTATTCATCGACGTAGCAAAGTAGCTTGATAGCTTGTGAACAAACTAATTATTAAAACTTATAAAAAGCATAACTCGTTAAACCGAGTGAGTGTATAGTTATTTCATCGCTTAAAGCGTTAAAACCATTGCATTTATCTAAAGAATCAAAATGCATAATCAGGTTCATCTTCACTTTACATGTATTTTTCTTACAAATTCATTACACATAAAAATGGTTTGAAACGACGCCATATCAAACTAAATCTCATCTTATGATTATTGGATCCATGTCAGATTTGCAAAAGGTCTAAGGCTATTGGTCAATCGGGCTGAAAATTAATACTAATTTAAGAATTATATATCACTTTCAAAATGTTCAATACTCCAATTCAATATGCAATATTCATATTCAAACAAATGATATATGAGTTTGAACCCTTTCTCAAATTTTTTAGATAAAAAAATCTCTCTCCCCCCCTCCCCCACACACACATTTGCAAATAAATACTAAATCCCTATTTCTTCTTCACTTTATTTGCTTCTAATGTTATTGTTGACGTTGTTTGTTATTACTGCAAGCTGTGAAAAAGACTTTTCAACTATGAAGTTAATCAAGAACGATTTTATAAATGAATTTTTAGTTGTATACATTGTAAAATATTGGAGTCTCAAAATAAACAATGAATGTATTTTATAAACCTTTTAGAATATGAGCCGTCACACGTTGATGTGAGAAACTACTCATTAATTCAAAAAAATTATGTTATTTTAGAATATTTTGTTTTATTTTTATCAAAAGGCGTATTTCTCCATAAAACATGAGTTTTCCAATATAGACTGTGTGGTGCTCGCACTTGTGCGCAAGCCCTTGAAGTTTAAGTCTAGTACGACCCATGAAGCATTCATGCTTGTACATGGCCGATCCATATACATTGTCTTCAAGGTATGCTTTAACTGTGTCGTGCTAGCTCGATCATGTGCCTAGGTATAGTTATATGCATTATAATAATTAAGTTTCTAACTATTCACAACACCAAGATAAATACAACCATAAGTGCACCGATATTCAATTTTGACTACCTGGTGAAATACTAGATTTGAGTAAACTACTACTGATGTCACAAATAATAATTATACTTTTAAATCATACATAAAATATTTCAAACATCACAAATATGAAGATTAAATTAATTATTATAAAGAGTAAAAATTGTATAATGAGGTTAATTATAACTCATTTATATGTTAATGCCTATAAATTGATCAACGCGTCCTATCCAAAACTGTCGAAATGAACATCACATTAAACTCGATATCATCTCATTATTGTCGGGTCCATTCATGCCCGATTAGCAAGAGTTTAACGTTTAGCAGTTAAACAGGCTAAAATTTTAGCGAACCAGTCACAAAATATTATTGTTTCGTATAACTTTTAAAAATTTATATTAATTTACACAATTCTTCATCGCTTTTGCATATTCAATACTGCAGTTTTATATGCAATATTTTAATAGGCTAGCTAACTGTGAAAAGTCCTCTGCTTTGCAAATCTCCGTTTAGCGCATGTTTACAATTTATGAAGATAAAACAAATTTGTTTAGTGCAATCGGTTGTGATTATTATTTTTGTTTTAAGAGACCATGATTTAAATATTGATATTGATACTTTTTTCATATGAAATAGATAATAATTGTGATAACAAAACTACTCTTCCTACTTTCACTCTCGCTTCACGAAATTTGAAATAGAAAATCTTAAAACATTGAATATATCTCATAGAAAGAGCTTCTTCAACCAAGTAGGAAAGATATTTTACCTGAAATTATTATTTCTTATAGAAAGTGATTAATTGTGAAATCGGAACTCAAATAACATTGTTTTTTTTAGGGGTAACCTGGAAAGATGTATTAAATCAGCTCAATAGTTACATCGTCCAGTCGAAGCTGGTCCAAGAGAAAGATTGGTGCTCTATCTAACCAAACTTCTCACATATCCCATCTAGACTCAGTATGGGCCATTATATGCGCCGCATTATTTGCTTCCCGCCGAACATGGCTGATAATGCTGCCTACAGGCTACAACAAATATTTTTTTCATGAAATAATTCAATAAATAAAAAAGTACAAAAATAATATTACATGAAATATATGTTACTCATTAAGTTGATGAATGAGCGAAGGTATGAGTAACATACATTTATTTTAAAAGGATAAAAGTTGCAAATTGTCTTTTGTGTTGCATGAGATTGCATATTCTCATTATCCCTAACTGACTTATTCTTTTTTACAATAGATAGTTCAAAATGTGCCTTAAAACTTTTGTTTCCACCGGTGTAAACGAAATGTTTGCACCAAAGGATTGTAAAACCGTATCGAAAAGTTGGTAGTAGATTATTTTATATTGAAGTCATAATTTAACTATGGTTCAACTGTTTCATATTGCTAAATATCACCTATCGATTTATCCTATAATGTGAAGTTTTATGGTCTAACCGTCGGTACGCATGATCTTTCAATAAAAACTTTAAATTAAAATCTAAAATATTGACATTATCAAATACCTTTTAAATCTCAGAAATTACAATAATCGTATTAAGAAAAAAAATCTTCCAAATGATAATATTGATTTAGGATTTTAAATTGAAATGGAAAAAAATATGTCAAACATAATGTCATGTCCTAAAATAAATCAAAACTCAACAGAATAGGGCCAAGAATATCCATTAATCAAAACAGAAGGGCAATTATTTCACACTACCCATTTTCCTCCTCTTTCAAATGTGTCCTCTCACTCTCTCTTGGCCTTGCTCTTTGTTTTTCCATTTGTTCTTCCATCTCTCTATCTCGGCTTTGTATCTCACAACTCTCCCATTTTCCCTTCCTCTTTCTTTCCACCGCCTGGAATTGATAGAAACCTAAAAACATCCCAATTACTTCCCCAATTTTGTTTTTGAAATGCTTCTTCTCCATTCACAGTCGATAGTGTGAATCAGAGCTCCTGAAACCTGGCGATAGATGGTCGCTTATTCATCGACGTAGCAAAGTAGCTTGATAGCTTGTGAACAAACTAATTATTAAAACTTATAAAAAGCATAACTCGTTAAACCGAGTGAGTGTATAGTTATTTCATCGCTTAAAGCGTTAAAACCATTGCATTTATCTAAAGAATCAAAATGCATAATCAGGTTCATCTTCACTTTACATGTATTTTTCTTACAAATTCATTACACATAAAAATGGTTTGAAACGACGCCATATCAAACTAAATCTCATCTTATGATTATTGGATCCATGTCAGATTTGCAAAAGGTCTAAGGCTATTGGTCAATCGGGCTGAAAATTAATACTAATTTAAGAATTATATATCACTTTCAAAATGTTCAATACTCCAATTCAATATGCAATATTCATATTCAAACAAATGATATATGAGTTTGAACCCTTTCTCAAATTTTTTAGATAAAAAAATCTCTCTCCCCCCCTCCCCCACACACACATTTGCAAATAAATACTAA